TTTGACAGGAGTATTGGTTTGTTATTTAAAATCTTCTTTGATCCCAATATATGTGAAATTATGCTCCATGTTTTCTTAATGTTGCCCTTTGTTTGGGTAAAGTTATCTTCGTAGTATTTAGTTTTAGCTCGTCTTATTATTTTAGATAGCAATGACGAGTAATTCCGTGAAAATTCTTTGGAGGCGATTCCTAACCTATACTTCTTCTCAAGGTCATGTTTTTTATTAATGGATTAAGGTATTCCATTTGTAAGCCAAGAATTGTTTAGCCTTTTAGCTGTGACTTGTTTCGTTAGCATAGGACTTTGGGTGTTATAAAGGCTGAGAGGCTGATGGATCTATAAATCCATCAATGTTTGTATCACACCTTGTATGTATGTACTTTACCTGAATAAACATTTGAATTTGAATTTGAATACTCTGTTAGGGGCAGTTTGACTGGGAGACCATTCTGGTAGGTCCATTATGCGTGGATATATCGAGTTTGTTCTGACAAGTGATGGTTGTTGTACGGTTGTTGCCTGTTGAGGTTGTAGCTCTGTTGTTGTGAGTAATTGTATATGTGATTCTGGTATGAAAGTGGGTCTGCCATTCAGTTCCATACATGCTCTGTGCTGTGGCTGTGACCAGATGGATGCCGTGGATGGCTGGCAGTGGACGCCCCAACAACTGGTGGTGGGTGGTTGTTGAAGCCGCAACAACTGGTGGTGGGTGGCTGCTGACGCCCCAACAACATTCAGTTGTCTTTAACAACCGGTTCAGTTGAATCAGGAAGACTCCAGATTCAGTTGTATATCCGCCTTCCTCCAGGTCTCCGTGGTGTAGTGGTAAGACACTCGCCTGGCGTTCCGCGAGCGCTATGTCATGGGTTCGTATCCTGGCCGGGGAGGATTTACTGGGCGCAATTCCTTAACTGTAGCCTCTGTTTAACGCAACAGTAAAATGTGTACTTGGATGAAAAAACGATTCTTCGCGACAGGGGATCGTATTCCAGGGACCATAGGATTAAGGACTTGCCCGAAAATGTTCTCTCCAGGCTCCAATATGTTTCTGTGAATAATACAATTTCTCCCACCCTACCCATCAACATTGGTGTTCCTCAGGGCAGCATACTTGGCCCTCTCCTCTTTCTCATCTACATTAATGACCTTCCAAATGCCTCCCAACACCTCAAACCAATTCTATTTGCTGACGACACAACCTTCATTTACTCCAGTCCTGACCCTCTTGCTCTAAATGCCACAGTAAATACTGAGCTAAATAAAGTCCATCTTTGGCTAACTGCCAACAAACTCACCCTTAACATTGACAAAACCTTCTATATTCTGTTTGGCAATAAATCCTCTAGTCTTATAAATCTCAAAATAAACAATACCCAAATTTGTAACAAATTAGATGGCAAATTCCTTGGCATTCTCATTGACCACAAGCTGAATTTCCAGGGACACATTCTAAATATATCAAAAAAAGTTTCAAAAACTGTGGGCATTCTTTCTAAGATCAGATATTATGTACCACGCCCTGCTCTGGTGACTCTCTATTACTCCCTTATCTATCCTTATCTCAACTATGGTATTTGTGCTTGGGGTTCTACTACCCAAAATCACTTACGTCCTCTAATTACCCAACACAAAGCCGCTATTAGAACAATATCCAACTCTGGCCCCAGACATCACTCGGTACCCCTACTCAAATCTCTTAATATGTTAGATATTAAGTCACTGCACATTCTCTCATGTGTATTATACATATATAAAACGCTAAACTATAATGCCAATCCTGATCTTAAAAGCTTCATAGAAGGTTGTAACAGAACCCATGAGCACCACACCAGAAATAAATACAGTTTTGATATTCCTAGAGTACGTCTTAATCAAACTAGAAATGCTCTGCAAATCAAGGGGCCCAGAATGTGGAATGACCTTCCCAACCATGTTAAAGACTGTACCTCTCTCAACCAGTTTAAGATAAAAACTAAACACTACCTAATAAATTCCCTGTAATCTACCTCACTCCTCTATTGTCAACCCATGTCTGTTATTTCTTTTTTTTTTTCTTTTTTTTAATCAACACTGTTTGTCAACCTATTGTATTTGTGCTGCTTTTTCAGTCATGTTCCCCCTTTTTTTTATCTTTATTTGTATTTGTTCTCAACATCTTTTATTCTTTATGCTCAATTAGTATTAAGTTCTAGATATTAATGTTTTTCTTGCCCGAAACGCATTGCGTAATAGTGGCTTTAGGCATTGTATGTACTAGCTCTATCTATATATCAATCCATTAATTTAACATCACTTGTATGTATATACCTTACCTGAATAAACATCTGAATCTGAATCTGATCTGAATCTGAAACGCTACGCGTACTAGTGGCTGTACAAGAATGTAACAACTCTTGTATATATCTCAAAAAAAAAAAAAAAAAAAAAAAAAAAAAAAAAGGTGTTGGGGCGTCAACAGCCACCCACCAACTGGTGGTGGGTGGCTGTTGACGCCCTAACAACTGGAGGAAGGCGGATATATACACGCCATCTATTGGTGGTCAGTGCCATGGACGCCATATCTGGACACAGAAGTTTGTAAGCAAGTTAATTGGCATTGGTCCCATAATTCATGCAGCTCTTCATAGATTCTAACTAAGAATACGATGTACTGAGTATAGTGTGGTGCTACGAAGTGTTGGTGCATTGTGGGTGGAGACTGTGAATACTATAGCCTAGTCGGGAGTGACACTAGATATATTTTCCTCAAATTTCTCAAGAGTTATGTTTAGTAATACAATAATTGATCGTTAGGTGACCACTGGATGCTTATTAACAAGTTATATTTTAAGAGTGATTCAAAAAATCAAAATCAAAATGTTTATTCAGGTAAAAGTACATACATAGAAGTTACAAATGCTGGATTTTTAGATAGAGCTAGTACATACAATACCTAAAGCCACTAATACACACAGCATTTCGAGCAAGGTGAGGTGAAAAAAAAAACCACTCAGACTTAAGCTTAATACTAATTGAGATTAAAGTATAAATTGTAATTATAATAACTTTTGCATCACTGATATAGTTTACTATGTTGTTTTTCCAATCTCTCTAATAACTAGAAAATATGACCTAAGAGTGTCCAGGTGACAAACTCAAGAATTCTCAGAGGATAAATAAACAACCTTACATGAAGGAAATTTGTGTATTAATTACAAGAACATTCTTAACTACAGTAAGTGAAAAGCGATCTGCTATGTAGAGATGACTGTCAAGTTCTGTAACATTCATGGATTCAGTAAGTGAACAGTGACCTCACATATGAAGATATCTGTCAGATTCTATAATTTTACAATACTCCTAATTACAGTAAGTGAAGTTATAATATTCCTAATTACCTTATATGTAGAGATAACTGTCAGATATTATAATACTGTACTCCTAGTTAAAGTGAGTGAAGTATCCTTATGTGTAGAACTGTCAAGTTCTATAATATTCCTAGTTACGGTGATTGAAATGATCTATGCACTGAGAACTGTCATGTAAGTTCTATATAACAATTAACAGGACTATAGGGCATAAGGATCAAATATAGTACCTTATTCTATGAATAATATAATTAATAAACTCTAACTACGTTTTCCCATCCATCAAAATAATAAATTAAGCCACTAATCAAATCAATATTTTAAGAAATAACAAATTAGCAAGTACAGTACTGTAACACCATTTTAAGTAATAGTTTATAAATAATTACATGAATAATAACAAATTAGGTCTAGCCTTGGCTAAACAACATAAAGGAAATGCTCGCACGTCAATGTAACTGAAAAAGTGTGGCAAAATGCTATGCAAGATTCATGTTAATATAAATGCTAGACTATAGCAAATAAAATTACCAGATTTGTGCTAATAACAATTCTAGCATAAAAGCAAATATAATTGATAAAAAATAAGTGAACATAATTGTCAAAGTCAGTTAAAATAAATGATAAAGGCATAAATTCTGGAAGTTTTACAGAAGTTAGTTATGAACCAAGATAACACAAAAATTCTTCAATGTAAATGAGTCACAGTAACAATTCTGATTTGTTTCTAATTTCTGGATGAAAACTACTTTTTAATATTTTTGTCAGTAAAATAGCCATGTTTAGTACATTTAAATTATATTTGCTATTCCCTTCCTAAATGTTTTATAAAATGCTTAACTGAGGGCCATAATATATTTTACAAATATTTCTTAATAGAACCTAAATAAAGGAGTTATTTAAAGAAAAAATATGCAGGAAAAAATCTGAACTTAATTTTTCTTGGGAAATCCAAAGATATTTGTTTACCCATCGAACATTTTGATTTTTCTACTCTCGCAGCTTATCTAGCTTGGTCTATGAGGAACATCTAAATTTGACTAGCAGAAAAAAAAAAAAAATACAACCTACACTTTCTGTGGCCAAGCGTATTCCTTCCACAAAACTATTCAAGCAAAAACTATTTTGAAGGACATCCAACTGACATGGTGATAACACTGTACGTACTTTAAATATGAATCTAAACTTTACAAACAGCATATTAGATTTGTGGGAAGATAATGTCCTGCTATGCATCTTATATAATACTGTACTGGACAACTTGAAATTTTTTAATTTATTTTATTTCATATTTTTATTTACTCATATATACAAGAGTGCTTATATTCTTGTACAGCCACTGGCATGCATAGCATTTCAGGCAAGTCCTCAATCCTAATTTTCACACACACATCCACAAAAAGCAGCTTCTAACTCCTAGGTACTTATTTACTACTAAGTAAGAGGGGCATCAGGGTGAAAGAAACTCTGCCTATTTGTTTCCGCCTTCTGCCAGGAATCGAACCCGGGCCCTTAGGACTACAAACCCTGAGCACTGTCCACTCAGTGGTCAGAGCCCCCAGATGAATGAATGACGCTCAATATTTTTTCAACATACACATCACCTGGTGCCTTTAAAATTAATTTGGTTACTGGAAGACAGGATACCAGCCTACTGAGGTTTATCACCAGGATCCACTAATATGTGACGTATTATCTGGAGTATTCCTGAAGTGGGTTCTGGGAGTTCTTCTGCTTCCCAAGCTTTGCCTGGGGTCAGGCTTGACTTGTGGTAACTGTGAACCATCATATGTCTCTTCACATGTGCAAGTCGACTGAATTTCTTCCCACACTCTGGACACTCATGAGATTTATCCCCTGAATGCACCAATATGTGAGTTTTCATATTTCCCAGATTACTGAATCTTTTCCCACACTCTGGGCACTCATGAGGTTTATCTCCAGTATGCACCAACATATGAGTTTTCAGATTTCCCAGATGATTGAATCTCTTCCCACACTCTGGACACTTTTGAGGTTTATCACCTGTATGGACCAACATGTGAGCCTTCATGTTATCAAGACGACTGAAACTTTTCCCACACTCTGAACATTTGTGAGGTTTATCACCCGTATGCACCAACATGTGAGTCTTCATAGTTCCTAGACGACTGAAGCTTTTCCCACACTCTGGACACTCGTGAGCTTTATTCCCAGTATGTACCAACTGGTGAGTCTTCAGATTTCCTAGTTGACTGAATCTTTTCCCACACTCTGAACATTTGTGAGGTTTATCACCCGTATGCACCAACATGTGTGTCTTCAAATATCCTACACGTATGAAGCTTTTTCCACACACTGCACACACATGAGGTTTATCACCTGAATGCACCATCTTGTGCGTCTTCAGAGAACCAAGTTGAGTGAATCTTTTCCCACACTCAGAACACTCGTGTAATTTATCACCTGTATGCACCAACATGTGAGTCTTCATGTGTCCATGATGACTGAATATTTTCCCACACTCTGGGCACTTGTGAAGTTTCATCTTCTCTGTGATTCGTTGAGTTTCTGTGAAGATTATCTGCTACTGACAGGAGTGATTTTGTGATGAGATGCCTCCTGGAGACCCAGCAGGTAGAAGGTTATGCCTAGGTATCGCCTTCTTCTTTATGGTATGTTGAATATGCCCGAAGATGTTCTCCCGATAGCTGCACGAACAGTAATATTGAGAGCCGTCATTCACACTGGAGCGTCAATGTTTTATCATTTGGCACAGATTGAATGTTGTTGTCAGTTTAGGCAAGGATGACGTTGTTCCCTCTTCTTTTTCTTTATGATACGTGTGGTTTGCTAGTTGTTCCTTGTAACTAGATGTTCTTCCTCTTAGTGGTAAGTACAGTTTGCGTGAAAGTTAATCTCACTAGGAGCAGTCTGCCATTTTGGTGATTACTGTTGTTGTGAAAGCGTCGGTCACTTGCGTTCCAATGTTATATATAACGTTTTCTTTATAAGAATATTAGAGTAACTATAATATAATATATAACTCAGGTTCAGATTCAGATTCAGATTCAGATGTTTATTCAGGTAAGGTATATACATACAAGTGATGTTACATTAATGGATTGATATATAGATAGAGCTAGTACATACAATGCCTAAAGCCACTATTACGCAATGCGTTTCGGGCAAGAAAAACATTAATATCTAGAACTTAATACTAATTGAGCATAAAGAATAAAAGATGTTGAGAACAAATACAAATAAAGATAAAAAAAAAGGGGGAACATGACTGAAAAAGCAGCACAAATACAATAGGTTGACAAACAGTGTTGATTACAAAAAAGAAAAAAAAAAGAAAATAACAGACATGGGTTGACAATAGAGGAGTGAGGTAGATTACAGGGAATTTATTAGGTAGTGTTTAGTTTTTATCTTAAACTGGTTGAGAGAGGTACAGTCTTTAACATGGTTGGGAAGGTCATTCCACATTCTGGGCCCCTTGATTTGCAGAGCATTTCTAGTTTGATTAAGACGTACTCTAGGAATATCAAAACTGTATTTATTTCTGGTGTGGTGCTCATGGGTTCTGTTACAACCTTCTATGAAGCTTTTAAGATCAGGATTGGCATTATAGTTTAGCGTTTTATATATGTATAATACACATGAGAGAATGTGCAGTGACTTAATATCTAACATATTAAGAGATTTGAGTAGGGGTACCGAGTGATGTCTGGGGCCAGAGTTGGATATTGTTCTAATAGCGGCTTTGTGTTGGGTAATTAGAGGACGTAAGTGATTTTGGGTAGTAGAACCCCAAGCACAAATACCATAGTTGAGATAAGGATAGATAAGGGAGTAATAGAGAGTCACCAGAGCAGGGCGTGGTACATAATATCTGATCTTAGAAAGAATGCCCACAGTTTTTGAAACTTTTTTTGATATATTTAGAATGTGTCCCTGGAAATTCAGCTTGTTGTCAATGAGAATGCCAAGGAATTTGCCATCTAATTTGTTACAAATTTGGGTATTGTTTATTTTGAGATTTATAAGACTAGAGGATTTATTGCCAAACAGAATATAGAAGGTTTTGTCAATGTTAAGGGTGAGTTTGTTGGCAGTTAGCCAATGATGGACTTTATTTAGCTCAGTATTTACTGTGGCATTTAGAGCAAGAGGGTCAGGACTGGAGTAAATGAAGGTTGTGTCGTCAGCAAATAGAATTGGTTTGAGGTGTTGGGAGGCATTTGGAAGGTCATTAATGTAGATGAGAAAGAGGAGAGGGCCAAGTATGCTGCCCTGAGGAACACCAATGTTGATGGGTAGGGTGGGAGAAATTGTATTATTCACAGAAACATATTGGAGCCTGTCAGTAAGGTAGGACTCGAGGTATTGTAGGGAGTGCCCTCTGACTCCATAATGATGTAATTTAAGAAGAAGGTTATGGTGGTTGACAGTATCAAAAGCTTTACGCAGGTCCACAAATAACCCAACAGGGAGCTCCTTTTTATCAAGGGCTGTATGAATCGAGTTAAGCATACTAATGAGTGCATCGTTAGTGCTTTTTTTGGGTCTGAAGCCATATTGGCAAGGGCTAAGTATATTGAGTTTGGCTAGATATGAGTAAAGCTGCTTGTATATAAGTTTTTCAAAAATTTTTGACAAGTTTGGCAGGATTGATATAGGTCTGTAGTTGTTAACATCTATGGGATCACCACATTTGTGGACAGGCGTTACTCTCGCTTTTTTTAGAATATCTGGAAAGGTTTGGAGTTCAAGTGACTTGTTGAAGAGCAAAGCAATAGCAGGGGCTAAAGATCTGGAGGCTTTTTTGTATATTAAAGTTGGTATCTCCTCAAGGGCACTAGACTTGGTTTTAAGGGAAAGGATTATCTCATTGACGTCAGTGGAATTAATAGGCTTTAGGTACAGAGACTGTGGATAGTTACCTGTAAGATAGTCCTTAATGTCAGTACTGGAAGATGGAATATCATTTGCAAGGGATGAACCAATGGAAGAGAAGAACCTATTGAACTCAATAGCAGAATCAGAGGCTGAAAGCTGACCATCGTTATTAGACAGGAGAGTCGGTTTGTTATTTAAAGATTTCTTTGATCCCAATATTTGTGAAATTGTGCTCCAAGTTTGTTTAATGTTGCTCTTTATTTGAGTAAATTTATCTTCGTAGTAATTAGTTTTGGCTCGTCTAATTATCTTAGTTAGCAATAATGAGTAATTCTTTGAGAATTCTTTGGAGACAATTCCTAACCTATACTTCTTCTCAAGGTCGTGTTTTTTGTTAATGGATTTCAGTATTCCCTTTGTAAGCCAAGGATTGTTAAGCCTTTTGCTTGTGACTTGTTTTGTAAGCCTAGGACAGTGGGTGTTATAAAGGCTAAGAGTTGTTTGTAGAAAAGATTGCACTGCTAGGTTGATGTCCCCTATGTTACCTAACTCGGACTCCCAGTTGACATTATCAGCAGCAGTTATAAAATTGTTTATAGCAGTTTCATTGTGCAGCCTAAAGCTTAACTCCCTTGTTTCTAGAGGTGGTTTGCTAATGTTAGTTAAGAGAAATGTGGGGTAGTGGTCTGTAGTGCTATCGGTGATTATACCTGAAGTAAGCGGAGAGGTTATGTTGGTCCAGATGTGATCTAGAGTCGTGGCAGTGCTATCAGTGATTCTAGTAGGTCTAGTGATTAAGGGTATGAGGAGGCAGGAATTCATACAGTTGAGGAAGCTAACAGCAGTAGGGTGTTCTGGCTCGCAGAGGTCAATATTAAAGTCCCCTGCGATAATTAGGTGGTTTTTGTTCAGTCTGTTATCAAGTATTAGATTTCTAAGGTTTGAGTTGAATACAGACACATCAGTGTTGGGAATTCTATAGACTGCACCCACAGACAGGACAGACTCAGCACCCTTGACTCTGAAGCTGGCGAAGATATACTCCCCATAGCAGTCTCTAGTTCTAATTTCTTTTAAGCATGTTAGTTCTTGGTGGTAGTAAAGAGCAGTGCCACCACCTCTCTGAAGTTGACGACAGTTGTGAATTGCTGAGTAGTTAGGCATGTTAAAGAGTTGAGTAGTATCCTCTTTCAACCATGTTTCAGTAAGTATAATAAAAGAGAATTTGTTGCCAATAGTTTCAATCAAGGCACTAACATCATCGAAGTGTTTACCTAGGGATCTAACGTTCAAATTGATTACAGAGATATTGTGATTATGAGTTAATACATTGTTTACATCATGTGCTGCAAAATATCTGCAATTTAGATCATTAAAGTGATTATTGTCATAGATAGTGGATAAGAGGTTAAGTTCTGGGTCTATACTTGACTGCATAAAAGAAGCTGATTGTAGAATCAGAAATAAGTAGAAAAAAGCTATAAAATAGGGAAAAAAATATACACAATACTGTACAAAACAAACACAAAAGGGGCTTACAGGGGTACAATGGAGTAAGGGAGTATGGCTAGGCTAGGCAACCTAGGCAATTAATGAGATTAAAGAAAAAACATGTAAACATGGACTATACAAAACACAAGATATGGAAATACAAAACAAAAAATATAAGCAAGACTAAGCAATACAAAAAAAAGAACAAAAAAACAAATTGAGCAAAAATGAGGTAGTAACTATAATATAATATATAACTCAGGTTCATTTATTTATTTATTTATTTATTTATTTATTTATTTATTTATTTATTTATATACAAGAAGGTACATTGGGATTGTGAGGATACATAATATAATAATTATTACTTGTAAATCTTGTAAATCCACTTGTAAAGTGGATTTTGTCCCGCCTCTCAACTGTCAATCAATGAACTGTTACTAACTACTACCTATTTTTTTATTTTTTCATACACACACACA